CACAAAGGCTGTGATGTTTGGCAGCTCCCACACAAAGAGGCGATGGCAGCGAACAGCCTGACCTTCTAAGAGAGGATTATTGGTTTCTCAGCTAGTGGCCTGGAGCTCCCACTTCTCCCCCAAGTCAGTAACTGGCATAGACGAGCATAATGGGGTGGGGAGCTTTTTAAAAAATAATGAACATACTTCTATTGCCATGGCAACCATCACAGACCTGCTCTTTTGCACAATTCAGGCAGTAAGCGACAAGGTCCCTTCCCCCCTGCTCTCACACTAATGCCCCTTGGAAGTACATTTCTTCCAAATGGCAAAGAGCTGGACTCCCAATTTCATGTCCTTTTGTGTCTCTCCAGATGCCTTGGGATTCTTGCCTTTATAGGTGTTAGGCCAATGTTTCATCACTGGTGCTGAACTAGGATGCTAACTAGTTTCTCACATATCAGAGGTCTGAAGAAACACACAGATGAGCCTGGATTGTTGATATGCCCAACATGGAAAGTACAGTGGCACCTTGGCTCACGAACTTAATCCGTTCCACGACTCTGGTCGTGACCCAATTGGTCGTGGCCCAAGTCAAATTTCCCCATAAGGTTCAATGTAAATAAGGTTAATCCGTTCTGTAACCATTTCGTTTTTAATCAGAAAAATCTGAAACAAAGTGACAAAGAACAACAAAGTAACAAAGTTCTGTACAGTACAGTGGAGAGCACTAACCTAGGTGGGGGGGTTATTGTTTGGAGGGAGAGTCCCCCTCCATAAGGACACTGGGGAGATCTCTTTCAGGGGTTTCCTCTCTTCTTAGCTGCAGGGTCAATTTTGGTGAAAAATCTGTCTATGGTCACTTGTTTCTTCCTGCGCTGCATAACCCTCCGGAAATGAGAGACCACGTTAGCTTTCATCAGATTCAACACTCTGTTCGTTACAGTTATGTTGGGGTGGTGCTTCTCAAAGAAATCCTGGCACTCATTCCATTTTTTCATAATGGATTGTATCACATCCCTGCTAACCTCCTCCCTGCCTTCCTCTTCCTCAGTGAAATCCTCCTCAGCGAGTGCCTTCTGCTGCTCACTCTGGAGTCCAGCAAGTTCTTCTGTTGTCAGTTCCTCTATGTCTTCCCCGCACAAACGAAACTGTGATTGTGGCCATCTCCCCACTCGGGGGCGAGGGGTGGGGAGATGGCCGTGATCGTGCTGGTTGGGGGGGGGAGGGAGATAGCCAAGATTGCGCCCATCTTTCCTGCGGGAGCGCACCTGTGATCATACACGTCTTCCCTGCACGAACGCAACTGCAACTTGGGGGGGGTGGGGAGATGGCTGTGATCTTGGTCACCACCCAAGGTGGAGTTCACACCCCAAGTCAAAATTTTCATGAATTTTTTGTTCATGAGCTGATTCGGTTGTGAACCAAGGCATTCGTGAGCCAAGGCACCACTGTACATGCCATAAGAGAACATTTCAGTGACAACAAAGCTTATGCTGTAAGCCATCCAGAGACGCAAGTAATTGGATGGCGTACAAATTTTATAAACAAACGAACAAACAAAGTGAGGCTGATGCTACTTCATGGACTGAGATGGTTGCTTCTAGTCAGAGAGGTTGCCCAGAGAGATTCTGACACTATTTAAGAGCAATTTTTCCTTGCGTGTTTTATTAATTCTACCTGCCAAATTCAGATCTGTCTGAATACTTTACCTTTGATCCAAAGCCATCATTAGATCAACATGAATTCTGTTAGTTCTAAAGCATTGCTGGCCACCGAACACCAATTAATCAGCTTTGGAATCTTCCTGAAAAGAGCTCCACACATGTGCAAAGAGCCCACATGTGTGGTGCACACAGACCACAAAGAATAACTATTTATGACTTTAAGTTGCTTTTATGTCCGCATTTGTATCCGCACATGAAATATTTCTATTGAAGATACAGTAGAAGGAAAATAATAGGATTCTACAACCATTTATAGAAGTTAGTTGTTTTTTCCTCTGAAAAATTGAAATCTAAAAAGGCAAAACAAAATGCTGAGAATATGTCATGGATACACAAAAATGTCTGCAATTGTGAAAACTGACACCTTTCTATTTCTTATCAACATATTTTGTAGCTCTCATAACAGAATCGCTGGATAAGATTTCATGACACTGGGATAGGCAGTCCTGAATATCAGGATATTCAGACATCACTTGCTTTAAAACTGTGGGAGAGAAGAAGGAAAAAAAACAAAATTGTGGGGCAGAAAAAGTGCTTGTATTCATCTCATATAGGGCATATGTCCAAGGCTCAAGAGTGCTTTCATTTTTTAAAAGTAATTTAGCACTTGTCTGCAACCTTGTCAGGCTCTCCAGTCAGAGAGGAGGGTGGAGCCAAAGCAGGGAATCTAGTCCTGTGACAGACTACCCAAACCTCTTATCAGAGACTAGCTTTATCTGGTTTCTCCTTTTACTTTCCCTTACAGTAATCTGTGAGTGACTCTGGCTGCCTGGATGTAGGTTTCCTGGGACTAACCAGTGAGATTCACTGCCAAGTAAACATGATAGGGTTGCTTTAGTTGGAACTTTAGTGCAAGTTATGCCAGAAGCAAAATTTTAAATATTGCTTTTTCATACGTCTTCAAGCAGGGATCTATACTTTTTGGCTGGCAAAATCATCACCTGCAGTTGCCAGCCTCCTTTCTGGTTAAGCCTTTCCTCTGGGCCTTCCTGAGAAAAGAGGAGATCAGGAAGAGGGATGTTTGAGGGGTGAACATCCAGTGGATCTACATGATCTCTCCCCCCCCCACATTACAGTTTATTAGCCCTATGCTGGCACCAGCTCACAGGCTTCTGTCTTTAGGACAGACCACAGTTTGCTTGTTTTTAACCACTAATGAAATTTGCTTTAAAAACACATGGAAACCACATGGCTCTAGCATGATTTGTGCAGAACTGACCACTTGGCCTAAACGGTAATTTGAGAAAATCGCCTGATTCCACACAAATTGTGCTACAGCCATGTGGTTTTCGGATGCCAATTTGGGCACATTTCAGTAGTGGTTCAAAAGAAAAAGGGAAAAGAGTGAACTGTGCTCTGCCTTAGAAATGGAAGTCAGTGTACCGCCCCTGCCCCAAATCAGCCCACTTGCAAGCACTGGATCAGAAGCGTGCATGAAATCTGTTGTGCTCAGTGAGGTAGATTTCCCTGTTTTGGCGTATCCCTAAACTGAGTGTGCCACACTGGGTACAACTGACTGAAAACACCTCAAGGGAAGGAACGAGGATGCTGCTGCTGCCTGAACCCATCCCAGGCTCCTTCACATTATGGCTTCCGACTTCCCACCAACACCTCGCCACTTCAGCCTTTTCAAGGGAACACCCTACACGAGGCAAGCCGACCACGTGCCTTGGATCTGAAGCCGAGTGCAATGCCTATCTGAGACACCAAGCTAATGCCACCCACCCCCATCCAAAGGCACCACAACAAGGCAGGTTCCTAAGACCCCATTTTTTTCAGTGCATGGCCATAACGAGTTATTGTTCCTCTGGCAATGTCATCTGTTCTCTCCCCTTTAACAGGACAGTTCTGACCCTAAAGCCCCCAAAATTCTCATCAACATTTGAATTAATTTCTAGCTGCTAAACCCATTTCAATAGCATCAACTTGGCAAGGAGGACTGAGGTTCCAGAATAAACTTGGCATTTTCTTAATAAATGCAGAAGATGCAAATCAAAGGGAGGTGAAAAAGACATTTACGAGACAGCAGTAAAAGTGTTTAGCAGAATTTTAGTTCCTCACATTCTGCTTCTGTTGTACCTGTGCGTGAGTGAAACATGCACTTTTGCCAAGCTGTGGCTAAACCAGCACGTGTTTCAGAACCTAGTGAGCCCCCTTGATTGACATGGGAGTTGAGGGGGAAAGAACAAAGACAGACACTGTGACTGCCTAAAGCGCAGGGAACTAAAAGCTTTCTTCTTCTACAAGAACAGCAAAAGCGCAGCACTGTGGTTTCCACGGAGACGTGGGAACATGCTGTTTCAGGAGATCTCAATCTGCAGATTAATGGCTTGGAAGCAATTCCCCATCATCTCACATTAAAAAAAAAGGTTACATATGAAAATCAAGAAACACTATTCTAGCACTGGTCACACTTCTTCACACCTATAAGTTTATGGTCTCATTTTGGTTTCATGCAACAGTGATTACCAACATAAAAATGCTGTTTTTAGACTATTACACACAATCTTGAAATACTGTTACTCTCCTCACACATCTAGTATTTAAATTATTTCCTTTCATAGAAAAACATATGAATAAAAGTATCTCTCCTTTTGTGAGGGAAACATTTTAATACTATTACTTCCCATTCTCAAAAAAGTTCCTAGACTAGCACTCTAAGTCAAGTTTTACTGAAAGCCTTTGGGAGGCTTAAGATGGTACAGGCAACATAATTTTATTTAATTATTTAGTTAATTTACATTCCACAAAAAGTGATGCTCAAGGCAACATAAACACAGAACCATTTGATCAGAAACAAGCAAGTAAATCTCATCTGGGTCAAGTTAGAGGTTTAAGAGATTTACAACTCTTTTCATAATTCCATTTTTACGTCAGTCAATCTAACAGCATTTACTTGTGGTCACCAAGCTAGCACCCTCATCTTTTCCCTCCCTCTGTTTTCCGGAGTTCAAAGTTTTACAAACTTTGACTGTAAACATTAGCTACTGGCAGTATAGAAATGAAACAAAACAAAATGAAACCCACACACTTCATGGGAACCAGAACCTGAGTTTTTGGTTACCAAGCTGTTAAGTGCCGTGCATGCTAATGGCAATGAATAAATAATAACTGAGGAAAGAAACTGCAGTATTCCAATCCTATAGCTATATAATAAACAGAAAGGGCCTCAGAGGTTGGTGCAAAGGACTGATAATTTCACTGAATCACTGTCACACTATCAGCTCTCCTGAGAAATATGCTGGCCTCTGAGGAAGAGAAACAGGGTTGATCAGCAGACTTTAAATCTAGTACCTTTGTGAGTGCGGTAAAGGGCTGCAAACGTCACCATAAAGAACGTAGTGGAGTATTTGCCAGCATTGACCAGGTGGGGAAAGGCCCGTTTGGTGTCACGATATCGGCGCAGGCACTGGACAAATCTCAACCAAGCAGGAATGCACTGAACAACTGCTCGCACGCCATAGGCATAGGTGTCGCAGATATGCGTGCCTGGAAAAACAGAGAGGATCTTCAAAAGACAAAGAAAAGACTTCTCCTGCAATTTCTCTAATCGTGGATCCCAGACAAAACTCCCCAAATCCAAAATCTTGTGAACTGGGAGCATAATTTCCAATTATTGCTCAGCAGTATAAATCCAGCACTTAACTATTGAGTATTTAATATAAATGCCCTTTTATAGAAGTGAAACATAGTAAGACATGAAAACTTAGCAAATAAAAAGAAACATACTTTCTGCCCACCCCATTGAACTGGGCCTTCAAACTTTCCTTACCAGAAACATTCTTTTATAAGCTCTTCCTTGCTAATACAAGTCCTGTAACCAAACATACCTCCGCATGCATAATAAATGTGATTTTTACAGCAGTGTGCCAAATTCCTAGAAGATTCAGTATGGCTTTTCACTGAACAAATAAGCTCAGCTTGGCCTACAATATGACTACGCATGGCAGCTACACGTGAATTGTCCCTCCTACTGACATACTTGGCTGTCCCAGCAGTGCATCCTTGCTTGACCACTGGAGCTCAAAGCTGTAGAAGCAAATCATGTATTCAAGGTCCATAAGTATCACAGCCAGGCTATTAAGCTGGTCAGCCAACCAGAAATCTGCAAAGCCCACTTTATGGAAGGGGGCAGTGAACACCCGGAACTGCAAAAGAAGGAAACAAGGGCCCAAATTGAATTCCTAGAAATATAAGGTAGAGGAGGCAGTAGCATATTCTCTTCAGTAGAAGCATGGTAGCACTGAAAGTATCCCACCATGACAAATGTTAAGAGAAGTAGATAGTTGCTGGTACAACTTGATGCAGATAGCACATCTATTTATTATGACTCTGGCTGCTCCAGTGTTTGGCTCTTGCACCTTTATGGATCAATGCAGCGCCTGCTACGTAGAGGAAGGCCAGAGAAATGCTGTGGTTTTAGGCACTGGTGGACTGGAAATGGGGGTTCCGGATCTTTGATTTGTCTAGCACAAACTGAGACTACTAGTTATATCTACATTAAAAGTAAGTGTTTTGTTATTAACTTCAGTGGAAAATGGGTTTATACCCACAACTGTAACATGAGTTTTCCCACATAGAAGCTGGAAATGATATTTTCATAGATGTTTTACAAGCGTGAATGATGCAGATGGTAAAATATTTCTGTGTATCTTACCCACAATACACCAAGTGTAGAAAAATTGTTTGGCACCAAGGATCAGCACTGGAGAAGTTTGCTTTCACACGCTCCTGCAACCACAATGGCTGAAGGGAATCTGAACTAATAGTAAAAACAAACGCTTCCCCATCTTAGCTCATTTCACCCTCAGGGTCTAAAAACAGCGATGTGCTTCTCAAGCTAGGCCATTTCATGCTCCATTTACCTCAGATTACCGCTCTTCCTGCCTGGTTAGTTATAACAACAACATCCACATTCTGAAAGGGGAATACCTAGATTATTTTGTCTTGATGCTCCAATGCTATGCAACATAAAAGTGGTTGGTTCGGAAGAACGTTTTGTGCTAGTGACATTTTGAGTATCTCCATATGCCTTGCAGAGTTTCCCACTGAAGGCAGAACACAGTTTGCCAAAATGTAGCTGAAGACAAACATTTCGTTCAGAGACCTGCTATACTTGATTTATCTGGCAGCAAATAAATCAAGTAGCAAGCAACAAATTGTATGTAGGTTTTCCACAGAAATTTCTTAGTCTGAGATATGAATCTTAAAAGGACATTGGGATCTGCAGAATATATAAACTACGTGGAATCAAACAGTGACCAGCTTACCAAGTTCAGAGTGAAAAGGAATAGACTGCTTTTGGCTATGGCATTTTAAAAAACTGTGCCTTTTTAAAATACATGCATTAAAGACTAAGACCTGGTTTGCACTTAATGACAGCCCATAATTAAGTGACAACCGATACGCTGGGTCAGTGTTATTTGCAGATGATGACTTATGAGGCTGCAGATGATTATACAACATGTATGTGGCTAAACTGAGGTCAGACTGCTATCCTAAACACTGCAGCCTGGTATTAACAGTGGAATCACTGGAACATTCCGCACAGGGGTGTTTAGTATTACCCTTTGGACGCTTGTCATATCTACTGCAGGGGTGGACAGCTTGTGGTCCT